GGCCTGCATTCTTTGGAAAGGCCCGGTAGGCCGTGGAAATGTCTTCGGTACTCGGCCTGTGTTTCTTTCAACCAACTGGCGCGTCGCAACTGCCTGGACCCCAAATATGAAATTGACAGTCGAGGGCCTCTTGCAAAAAGCCAGGCCCGCCTTCACTTAGGGCGGGCACCTCCGCCTTCACTTAGGGCGGGTAAGGCTGCAGACAGGGCCCAGTAGGCCTACCGAGGACACTGATCCTCACACTACCCTGGAAATGTGCAAAACGAGAGTGAATCTTGCGTTAGAATATGGAAAGATACATCGCCAATATTTTTGTCTTTTGTGCATGTTGAGAGTAGTGCAGCGAGGCCCTATGTCTTGTTGTGCATGTCGAGAGTTGTGCAGCGAGCCCGTTGGTGAACGTTACCGTTGAGGTTCTGACAGGTTGGACGCGCCGGGCTTCACTCGTGCAAAGAAATTCTGATGTTCTTCCTTAAAAAAGAAAATTCCAGGAAAAACGGTTGTCAGTTCCATCGTTTTCTACTTCAGATGTAATCAGAAGAGATCGTTTTGAGAGATCGCGACCCTCATCATGACTGAATCTGGCCTGCAAGAACCCTACCATACAGACTGCAATAACCCTACAATACAGTGTCACACAGAGTGTTACCCGGACTACAGGTTACTAAAAGCTTTCAGGCCAACGTGCGGCCTCCAAAAAGAAATTGAATGGCCGTTTCTTATTTTACGCGAGCAGGGGGTCGGGTCTACTACCGCCCCTCACAACTTTTTTTTTTTTTTTTTTGAACCCCATTTTCGGAGGTGCGCCGCATGCAGTGCGCGCGCGTTGTGCGGGAAGCGCGGTGCGGCGCACGTGCGCAGTACAGCGCATCGCGATGCGCCGCAAGTATGGTTTCTACCCTGTTTTTTTTCGACGGCCGATAGCTGGGCCAAGTACTGGTGTGGCTTAATGAACTGGAACCCAGATCGAGAAGTGGTTTTAAAATTCGAAAAAAAGAATAAGAAAATAGAGTGCAACCCTGCATATTCAAGAATGGCACACACAAATCAAGAAGCTCTTCCAAATTCCCAAAAGACGTTTAAAGAACAAAGAAAAAAGAAATATTTCAGAAAAAAATTATTCTGCGTTAAAGCACTAGCACCTTTGACATGTCCCTTGGGGAGCCTTGAAAGGCATTGCGCGCCAAGAAAAATGAAGCGTCCATGTACCTGTCCGTTCGGATTCGGAGAATTCAGAGTAGATTCACTGATGCATCTGGACCCTGAAATGGCAGGAGTTTAGCATCATCTTCTGTGCTTGCGCATGCATTGCTACTGCAAAATTTACACACCCCTCTTAAAACCACCAGTACACAGCCCCAGCCATGCAGAAAGTTTTTGTTGTCACAAGTGAAACACGGAGGGGCGGCGCGGCGCAGGGCACCATTGAAAAACAAAATTGGTGGGCTATGAGGTGGTGAGGATTTCATGCTGACACCCGCGGGCGATGTATGGTGTGCTGGTGCTTTAAACCACCAGTATACATTTCCCAGCCATTTTTATCGGACGCAGCTGCATGCACGCCGCAAGTTTCACAGGGAACTGTTGAACAAGTACAACCCTTGCTACCCGAACGTTGTTAATACTGATGGAAATGGTCTGGCACAGGCATGCTTTCTTTTTGTGGAGTTGTGTACAGTGAACATGGCAACTCACACACCACACCCAGTCCTGCGTTTTATTCAAATTGATGTGTCTGCATTTGAATACTGCACCAGATGTGTTGTATCCGAATGTGGTGTTTGTTGTATTGAAACACTGCAGGAGGAGGTGGTACTTGAGGGGTCGATGGGGGAGTTACAGGGGCGTGGGTTGGTGAAATCGGCAAGACTGTGATGAGAATGATGGGGCATGAACTTCTTCTTCTTCGTCATCCTCCTCCTCCTCCTCCTCCTCCTCCTCCTCCTCCTCCTTCTTCTTCTTCTTCTTCTTCTTCTTCTTCTTCTTCTTCTTCTTCTTCTTCTTCTTCATTGTTTTCGTCTCCGTCTCCCTCTCCGTCTCCGTCTCCGTCTCCGTCTCCGTCTCCGTCTCCATCTCCGTCTTCCTCTTCCGCTTCCTCTTCCGCTTCCTCTTCCTCTTCCGCTTCCTCTTCCGCTTCCTCTTGTTTGTCCTCTTCTTCTTCTTCTTCTTCTTCTTCTTCTTCTTCTTCTTCTTCTTCTTCGTTGTTGTCTTCGTCTTCTTTTTCCTCTTCTTTGTCCTCTTCTTCTTCTTCTCCTCCTTCATTGTTGTCATCGTTTCCGTTTCCGTCTCGGTTGTCGTCTCCGTCTCCGTCTCCGTCTCCGTCTCCGTCTCCGTCTCCGTCTCCGTCTCCGTCTCCGTCTCCGTCTCCGTCTCCGTCTCCGTCTCCGTCTCCGTCCTGCCACCGCACTACAGGTACGCCAGTTTAGGAAGGATTCCGTGTGAGAGTCTTTTCCGATAGGTCAGAGCCATTGGGAGAGTTGATACCACCAGAAATGTGCGTAGCAGCCTCTTCCATTATTGGATTCACCTATTTCATGAAGATTTTCAGACTCCTGATGTGCTTAGTAACCGTTAGATTTGTGTACCACTCAGCCATGCATGTGCTAGATGAAAAATGGGGTTTTGCATCTCTATGCTTCCCTTAGTTCCTTTGTTCTTCTTTTTTGTTTTCCACTAATTTGGAATTTCCAGTTTAAAAACACTTCAAAAGTTAAAACAGCTGCATTTATTTTTTTGTCAAACGTCGTCTCCACAAGGCGCCTTCAAGAATCCACCGAAGAGCTCTTTGGTACAATGGGACTTGGGACTAATTGGATGGTTCCGGAGATTCTGACTTTTTTACTTCTAAAATAGGTTAAATTTTTTCCTTTGAGGTCTTGCAGTTGGTTTCCATTCCTTTTCTTAATACGGATACCAAAAATGGACTCTGTTTTTTGCTGTGCATTTTTGGTATCCATATTGGGAATTCACTTGTCTTTTGTTCTTTCCTGGTGTGCTTGTCCTTGGTGATGCTGCATGATTCATAACAAGGCAGAGCACACATCCCTACGGGCAATTCAGTACGGGAACCATACCAACACCGACTTCACCGGGAACGACAGACGGACCAACTTTGCGAGGGAAGGTGAGCATTCAGCTTCTTCTTCTGGACTCGTTCGTATCTGTCTGGCTTTGTCTCTGTGTTCGTTTCTGACTATGTCACTGTCTCTGTGTTTCTACTATGTGTTACAGCTTTATCTCTGTCTATGTGCTCACGATACCTCATATCTGTCTATGTGGCTGACTCTGTCTACGTGGTCTTACTATGCGGCCGTACTATGTGTCCATAGTATGCGTTCATACTGTGTTAGAGGTACTATGTGTTCGTGTTTGTCTATGTCTCTGTCTATGGGGTTGTTTCTGTCTATGTTTTCAGACTATGTGTCCATCCATGCTATGTTTTCATACTATATGTTTCATACTATGTGTCGGAGATACTATACTATGTGTTCATACTATGTGTTGTGTTGGAGGTACTACGTGCTTGTATCTGTCTCATGTGTGCATATCTGTCTATGTTGCTGTGGTCGTACTATGAGGTCGTACTATGTGGTCGTATTATTATGTGTTAAAAACTTCATACTATGTGCTGGAAACATGTGTTTCTATGTATGCCCATGTGTGTATGTTGGTTGGTTTGGTATCTTATCGAGGCTTCCTTCCCTGGCAATTGTGTTAGGTGCCAGCAAGTTCGAATGGAGAAGCAAAGACTGCAGAAGGGAACGGTTCGGGCTTTCCTTTTGGAAATTCGGTAAAACGCTGTAAGAGCAACGCTGCCCTTGTCCCCTCAGCAAGTGCAGGAGACACTGCAAAGCCAGGGCACAACTCCGGCGATGCCATGTCTAACAGGTTTGTACCAGCCAAATGACATGATAGGCATCCCATCTCCTCTATGCTTTGTCTTGGTCCCGTTGTGGTGCCATTTTGGTCCCATTTCGATTGCATTCTGGTCCCCTGGGGGTCCCATTTTGGTCCCATTTTGATTGCATTTTGGTCCCCTGGTGGTCCCATTCCCAGGATCATCTGTCTGCCAATCCACCCATCAATCCATGGTCAGTCGATGGATGCTACATAGCTTACTGGAGACACGGCTTCCATTGTGGTGCCAGGTTCATTTGTCTGCGAATCCACCCATCAGTCCATGGTAAGCAGATGGATGGTACATAGCTTATGGGAGAGATGGATGGCACATAGGTTACGATCCATCTCTCTCTTCTCTCTCTCCGGTAGCCGGACAGGCACGCCATCTCTGAAACTGTCCATTCATCCGTCTGCTTATCTGTTTGTCCATCCCTTCTTCAATTCGACTGTCCATCAATCCATTGGTTGGTACATTTGCCTGCTCGTAGGTCCCGCCATCCACTTATTGTTCCATCAGGCTGTCCACTGCCCCGTCTATTCATCATTCCAGTTGTCGGTCTGTCCATCATTCTGCCTCGTCTGTCGGTCCGCCTGTCATCCGACCTGTTTGGCTGTCTGTCTGTGTCTTTCTTCCTGTCCGTTGATTCGTTAGTCAGCCTGTCTATCTCTGTGATTTCTTGCCTCCCTGTTCGCCTGCCTCCCTGTTCGTGATTCGTTAGTCAGCCAGCCATCCCGTGATTCGTTAGTCAGCCAGCCATCCTGTCGACCAGCCATCCCGTCCGTGCCTGCCTCCCTGTTCGCCTGTCTGTCTGTGCCTGACTGTATCTAGGACACCTGTTTGTCTGTCTGGTTGTCTCGAGTCTGTCTATCAGTCTCGTGCCTGTATGTCTGGCTCATGCCTGTCTGCCTGAGTCCTTTGGCTCTCTGTCCATCTGACTAATCATCTGTTTTTTTTTTTTTTTTTTTTTTTTTTGCAGCATCTGCTTTTTTTTTTTTTTTGTTTTTTTGTTTGTTTAATAACTTCAATTATTTTAATGGTTTGTGTGACTGCCTGGCTGCGTGGCTGCCTGCCTACCTGCCTACCTGCCTACCTGCTGAGCTGTGTTCCGTTGGATTAGTTCTACAGATGTGTCTGTGGCACTTCGCTCCTCTGTCCAGATTGTATGGCCCGAGGGCAAGATTGGCACTTGGCACTGAGGCTTCTGGGCGCTAGGGGCACCCTGTTTGTGCGAACAAAGCAGGCACCTGGCCTTTTTTTTTTTTTTTTTTTTTCCATGTTGGCCCAATGGACCACGGATCAGGTATTAAACTGATCAGAACAGATACTACACTTGATCTTAGCGAAAAGGCCGAGAAAGGTATTGCACCTGGCGATTTTTAAGACCAGATTCTTGTTGCTTTCTAAGCACAAACATAGCACCAATGGGGCCTTGTTTTTCCCCAGCTTTCTTGGAAAACAGTTTCGTATTGAAATTTTCCTCCTTTTTCTACCTCCAGCTCGGATTGCTTTTCCCCCCAACCCACCCAACCCACCCCCACCCACACACCTACCCTCCCTCCCTTTCCTCATCTGTGTGCATGCATGCCAGCGTTGTGCTGCGAACTGAGTTCAACTAACAGTTAAATTAAAATTTTGTAATATGCAGTGGAGACAGCGGAGGAAGTGAAGACAGCAGCGATAGTGAGGACGAACCCGGACAAAATGTACGTGTAGGTTCGTTTGGTCATTCCGTTTCCTTTTTGTTGTCTGGCAATCCTGCCTCCCAAAGGCTTACTTAGGAATAACGAGGACACACTAGGACTTCTTTGACTGAGCTCTGGATGTGATTGCAGTCAGATGCATCCAGGTCTGGCCGTAATTGCAGTCAGATGCATTTAGGAAAGTGTGGTTATTGTGAGCATGCCCTGGGTCTCTTGGTAGTTTTCTGTTTGTTCTTTCTGGTTTTTGTTTTTCCTTTTTCCGTGTCCATTGTCTTCGCCGATCATTCTGTCCTGCCGACTTTTTGCTATCTCCTTTTTTTTGGGGGGGGTGGAGGTGGGGGGGAGTGGCGCTCTCGTTGACAGTTTGTTTCATTTTTGAATTTCTCTTTTTTTCTTTATCCAGTCCTACTACCATTTTCTAGTTTGGTGAAACCAACCCTCCAGCCCCTTTTGCCTTTATCTCCCTTTTTTGGGGGTCTTCATTGGACTGCCCACTAGAAGTTTTCATGTTGCTATCACCATCACGGAGGGCTGTGGATGTGGCGACTCTCTGACAGGAAAAAAAATTGCTGCACATTCTAAGTCACCTGCAATGATCCGCTCAGATTCGACCTCCACACAACATGCAGAATGAAAGCTCACACGAAGATTCACATCAAAGCCAGAGATGGACACCATATCAGCACAGCACAGAAACTTCAATGAATACTCATAATATTATACAAATTCAGGGTTCAGGTAACGGTGCTCATTAGCGCATGCAACAACTTCACTAGGTAGCGGATATCCTCCACTCTCTCTCTTCTTCTCTATCCTCTCTCTCTCTCTCTCTCTCTCTCTCTCTCTCTCTCTCTCTCTCTCTCTGGGGTTGCTTTCTCAATACTTGTATCACTCTGGCTCGCTCTCTTTCTGTGCTACTACTTGGATCGTAACCCTGGAGACATCTGCTGTACTTCTACTGCAGCTTCAGCTATGGCAGCTATGGCTGCCGTCTCCTTCCTCAACCCTAACTGGTGTGCCGCCAAGCAGGCCTTCTGGCGCAGAACCCAAGCTGTGATGTCGCACAAGCCACCAGCAGCGCTTCCGCAACTCATGCAGGACAATAGATGATGTGAGCTGCACTGTAGCAGCAGCTATTAATAGTCGCTTGACTTGGCCTTGGTTTGCTTCTGATGGTACTGGTCGCCCGCGGCCTGTCTTCTGCATGAATTTTGGTGGCCCAGTACCTTCCGGACTTTTCCAGGGACGCTCCTGCAAAATTGGACTTTGGGCCGGGACTTTTCTTGTCAGGCACCGGTTGGACTTTTACCGGTCTTTCTTGTACGGTACCGGCCCGACATCGACTTGCGACGCTTCAGCCTCCTACAGACCTAAGGACCCTATGACCCTACCTGGGACTCCACTACAGGACAGGTGGGACTGGGACAATCTGGGACTGGTCCCAACTGGGACTGGGACAATTTGGGACCCTGGAACCAGGACTTCGGGTGTCTGCAACGTGAAATCCTTTCACTGGACGCTGCTGCAAAATTGGACTTTGGGCCTGGACTTTTCTTATTGGGTACTGGTTGGACTTTTACCGGTTTTATTTGTATGGTACCGTCCCGACATCGACTTATGACATTTCGGCCTCCTATGGACCTAAGGACCCTACGATCCTACCTGGGACTCTCCTACAGGACAGGTGGGACTGGGACCATTTGGGACTGGGACCAACTGGGACTGGAACAATTTGGGACCCTGGAACCAGGACTTTGGGTGTCTGCAACGTGAAATCCTTTCACTGGACGCTGCTAAATTGGACTTTGGGCCTGGACTTTTCTTATCGGGTACCGGTTGAACTTTAACTGGTCTTGCTTGTATGGTACCGGCTTGACATCGACTTACGACGTTTCGGCCTTCTACGATCCCACCTGGGACTCTCCTACGGGACAGATGGGACTGGGCCCAATTGGGACTGAAACAATTTGGGATGCTGGAACTGGGACTTCGGGTGTCTGCGACGTGAAATCCTTTCACTCACACCGGCCTAATTTCGAGGTCCTCCGAGAAAGTTCCTAACATTACCGATCTCCCTACGCTTATAGAAATCGCTAACGTGAGAATTGGCCGATCTAGGCTGCCCGCGGTCCTACCGGCCGGACGGTCCAGATTTCCGCGCGATCTTAAACCACCACTACCTTGCTCAGCTATTGAATCCGAGCCTCCCAGCACGCTGCGCGCCAAGTCCTGCCGAACCGCCGTCGCAATTTTCTTTTTCGTTTTGCCTGCGGCCTCCAGCCAATGCGGTCCGGCAGGCCGAAGCCCAAATGGCGCGGCGCGTATACGGGAAGCGCCGCGGCCGATAGCTGGGCCAGGTACTGGTGGTTTAAGACTTTGAGACTTTAAGATCGTGCAACAATCTAGGCCGTCCGGCAGGGTGGACCGCCTTGATCGTTGCGCGATCTTAAAGACTTAAACCACCACTACCTCCGAGCCTGTTTTTCCCAACCCTGATTTTCACTACGCACAGAGTTCTGCCAAGCCTGGGTCCCGTTTGGATTTCTTTCTGGTACTCGTGTCGGCAAAAAAGAAAAGAAACCATGGATGCTTTCAGAAAAGAAAAAGTGGTAATAGCCGCACAGTCACATCCACAAAAGAAGAAGGAAAACGAAAAAAAGAAACAACCCCCTGGACGAGATAGCAGCTGGATACAATATTGAGAATACGTGTGTGGGTATGCTGTCAGTGAGGGCGTTACAGAGATCTGGCAGGTCTACTGGAGGAGGAGAATGAAAAAAAAAAATGAAACTCACCCTTTGGGCAGGAAAGTGGGTTTATACATTCTGAATAGTAGTGGTACGAGTGTGCCCGCTGTGACAATGAGTCAGCAGCCCGTGGTATGCGCCCCGCCTCGCTGGCGGGGCACTAAAACAACACAAAAGAAACAAAACAACAACACAAAGAAGACAAGCTGAAAGTAGACAATATAGCAGGTAGATACGTTCCCCGTAGAACTGATGTGGGCACTACCTCATTCTCGGCTTTCCCCGACATAATTCCTCTGTGTATAGTACTACAGTGTCGTCCTTTTTTTTTTTTTTTTTTTACAAGTGGGCCTATAGGGCCCGAACATCTTGATTTCGCCGAGCCTCGTTGGGACCTCCTAAAAATGTGGTGTGACATATATTCCCGTTTTTCCCAACACTGAGAAAGGTAGCGGTGGTTTAAGATCGCGGGATGATCCAAGCCATCGGCCTGGTATGACCGCGAGTGGCCTGGGTTGTTGTGCCCGTTGAAAAGAGGGCCCGTCGTAAAAGAACGGCCCCGACACCTGCTGGTCATTGGCCTGTTGCAGGGCGGGCGGTGCTATGGCCCTGCTCGTGTCGAACGGCTCGTGACTTTGTGTGTGCTGTGTTGCAAGGCTATGCTTGAAGGCCCCTCTGAGGCGACCCCGTCTCCGCCCACCTCCCCTCTGCCTCCCCCCACCATCTCCTCTCTCTCTTTACTCCCGCACCTCGGCCACTTCTCCTCCGGCTCTGCAACCTCCCGTCCGCTTCCTCCCGCCATCTCCACCCGCCATCTGTCCCACCTACTCCTCTCCGCCTCCGCCTCACTATCCCTGTGTGTGTGTGTGTGTGTGTGTGTGTGTGTGTGTGTGTGTGTGTGTGTGAGAGAGAGAGAGAGAGAGAGAGAGAGAGAGAGAGAGAGAGAGAGAGTTTTCATCGGTCGGTTGCCTCCACCCTTCATGCATCACCTGACACGCATTTGCTTTTGCGAGCGAAGCCGCAACAGGTCGTCTAGTTTAATGTTAATTCCTCATAGGAAACTATGTGAGGGGCAGTCTCTAATAGCTCATCCCTGGTAAACCAACGGTCTTCTTCAGGTTCTCGATAAGCAAATCTGACCTTATACTGGTGTTGTGGCCTCCCTCTGCATCCTGTTCGGTATGTGTCTTCGGAGACAATATGGTACAGTCCACATCGTAGTTGCCACCTATGTTGGGTGGTATCATAGACCTTCGCGAGGGGAACTGGTCGTTAGTGACACAGGGAAGTAACAGGGAAGTAACTTAGAAGCATGGAAGATCGGTTAAGTGTGCAGATGCGGTGGAATCTCAACTGTATAGGAGGGAAGGGACCATCTGCATCGCCAATTACATCAAGAATCTGCCATGGTCCTCTGCACGCAGGCAGCAGCGTCTGCGACACCCCCTCCTCCGCTACAAACGTTTTGGACTTAACCCACACCAGATCGCGGACAGCAAACCGAGACGGTCTGCGATGTTTGTTAGCCTGCACTACCATTTGGTGCTGGGCCTTCTGAAAGTTCTCCTTTACTTGTTTGAGATCTTTTCCCGTACTGTATATAGCAAAATTTTCTCCAGATTTAGACAGTTGACCGGACGCCTGGGCTGCCAACATTTGTGCAGTTCGTTTGGCATACTCGATGTGGCCAAATTCACAGAGTTGTTGTACGCGCATGCCGCTTTGGGAAGATGCTCGTCCCAATCAATGGTCTGGTCTAATGTACATTCGCAGCACTTGCTGTAGCAACTTGTTCATCTGCTCGGCCTGTCTGGAAGTCTCTGGGTGCCTGCCTGATGACATAGTCAATTGGGACGCGTAGACTTGCATTAGTGGCTGCCAGTGCTCGCCTGTGAACCGCGCATCTCTGCCACTAACTGTAGTCGAAGGGTGTCCGTAGTCTTTGACCCAGTGGTTAAAGAACTCTCTAATGACTCAGTCCGTCTTCGTGCAGGCAGTGGAATAAAAGCAGGAAATTTACTAAATCTATCAACAACAACCGTAACCTGACTTTTCCCATTCCTACTCCTAACCTTGGTGCCCAAGAAGTCAATATAGGCAGCGGTTTCAGCAGTCCAAGGAGAGGCTGCATGGAACACTCTTATTCTGCTGGCATACTTTGCAGCCTTGGATGTAAGCAATGCCTTCGTGTTTCATTCCGACCCTCTCTCTCTCTCTCTCTCTCTCTCTCTCTCTCTCTCTCTCTCTCTCTCTCT